TATCCTTGTCTGAGCTCTCAGCCTTCTCTGTGCCATGTTGTGGATAATTGTTATTTTTAAAGATACTCTAATTTTAAAATGAAACTTGTAGGAATGTTGATCAGCCCAAACTGCTCCAAAGTGACTTTATTACAGGACACAAAGTATTTCCATCCAGTGGCTATGTTTCCAGAAATGACATTAAAACAGAAATGTACTTTCTTTCAGCTTTTTGTATACCTATAGTTTAACTGAGTATTGTGATAGGAGAATGTTGAGCATTTCAAGAACATTGCTCCATGAATGTAAAAATGATTAGTGTTCGGTGCATAAAAGTTTTTAAACTGGGTTTTTCCTCTTATAGTAATGATTTAAATGTTTGCGCTTCAGTGCTGCATGAAAGGTGGCACCATTCTCCCAGACATTCTCAGCCACAGGGGAAAGCTAGACTTGAAAGGAGTTTTTAAAAATATAGTTGTTAGGATAAATTGGCTTGGCATTGACATTCTGTGGCGCTGCCCTCCGCTGGATGGAACGTCAGACGTTCCAGTTTGTAGAAAGGTTCTCTCCATTAGCTGAACTAGAGGCTGCTCCAGATGCCTCTATTTTGGAGATTGTGGATTTTTTTTCTTTTTTTGGAACAAAATGTCATGAATTCTTTCCCCGAAGCTGCATTTATGTGACTCCTTGACAAGCTTGAGATCTGCATAATTCCAGCACTGGATCACTGCAGATTTTTTTTGTATGACACATGATCCAACAATTTAAAATAGTGGCACTGACCTGTGGTTAGTCTGGGGCCTTTCAAATTCCTCTGCCTTGATTTTATATACGTATGTATGTATGTATGTATTTATACAGACAGACATTGCTTAGTACTTTAGGTCTAAATTCTGGGCCCCACAGTGCCTATAGCACAGAGCCCTCAGCAGCTCCCCAGGGCCCCCAGGCTGTGCATCTGTAAACAACCACTTCTTGTGGGAGACAGAACATCCTTTGAGACAGCAAGGTAGCACTTATGCTGATGCTCTGCCCTTATCCACCCCCACACAGCAGGTGGCTCCAGTAGGGGAAATCAGTCATGGAGAAACTGAATGGGACCCTACAGGCCAAAACAGCAAAAGTGGGCTATTAGCCAGGGCAAGGAGACAGGTGCCTGTCAGGCAGAATGACACACAGCTCCCTCCCTCTTCCCTCCCCCCCCCCCCCCCCCCCCCCCCCCCCCACTGGCAATTGCTTATGGGAGTGAGCAGAACAGGGATCACAAGCCACACGTGCTAACCAGCTTGAGGAAGATGGGGCCATGGGTAAAATTTTCAAAAAACCCTCCTTGAATCTTAGGTTCCTAAGTCTCTTTTGAAAATGTGACCTATGCTCCCAAATCACTTAGTCGCTTTTGAAAATGTAACACCTCATCCCTAGCTGTTTTCTGGTTTTCCTCTCCTCCATCCACCTCTCTGTGTGGGAAGGTTACTGCAGCAGCTCCCAGGGCACCCACAGAAGACAGAGGGGTGAGGATTTATGGAGGGCTGGTGGGGAGAGGAGACTCATTTGCCCTCTGTACTACCCAGCTGGAGAGTGGATGTGGATCTCTGTCCCCCACCTCCACACACCATCCTCTGGATTAGTTAACTCTGTGAACAGCTAGTTACTTAGACATAGGGGGTTTCTGCAGCTCTTCCTGCTGCATAAATCAGGGCCAGGATTTGACACTTAGTTTGAAACATACGTAAAGCATTATAATTCATGTTGGAAGTTGAGGTTGGATGAATCTGGCTTTATCATATATTTCCAGCACTGATCCCGTTTGTCTTATAGGGGATTATCATTTTGATTGACAAAAGAACTGTATAACTCAGTCCTTGTTACTGTCAAGTTCAGTGTTTGAGAACTCTGCCTCCATTAGCTAAATGTCAGATTGCCGATCTTTCAGTCATAAATTGCTTTTTAGGAATGAGGAAAACTACACATTTCCCATTGGAAATATTCTGAAGACATTGTATTCTGATGCTGATGAATTCTCCTTTAAATTCAAATAAAAAAGCTTATTACTGAATTGAAAAAAAATCAAGAAATTATCTTTATTAATAGTAAGTTTTGTGAGACCCTTTTCCTTTTCACCCATTTGTTCTGCACAAAACTTAATTTTGGGGCCTAAAATTACCTAAAATGATGATTTGCATTCCTGTTTGTTATAACTCCAGTATGTATTTACCAAAAGCAATTTATTTTATTTAAGTTGCATTCCATTATTTTGCTTTAATTGAATGAAACTGGAGTTATTTTCTCATACCAATGTGTGGTTTAAAATAAAAGGTAAATATCTATTAGTAATCTCTTGAGAGTGGCTATTCCTGGCAATTACCACCGGAAACATGCTTATTAATATTACATCTGCTGACAAGAGATTACTATTTAAATCTGTTTCCATATTATTTTTAAAAGTCCGCTGCTGATTCACCAAACCAGTTTCTAATCCTGCCTCCCTACCTTGCATGCGTAAATATTGTGTGTAGTCCCATTGGACCTGGTTCACTTTTGCCCTGTACCTTGTGTAGTCATTTGCATCACTGCAAAGTGGGTATTAAACACTACCATTCTGATCTGGTTGTACTTTACTCTCACTTTGCACTGGTCAAATGACTACACAAGGTACAAGGCAATAGTGAACCAGGGCCATTGACTACATGTAAGGTTTACTCACGCTAATAAGGGATGCAGAATCGGGCCCCATCTTTCTATTAGCATTATTCTGAATAGAATGCTCCAAATATTTCAAATTTGATGAGTTGTGCTGAAGTGAGTATGGGATCTGGCAGCCCCTCCTAGCTTCTCTATTTAGTTAAATTCTCGTTCATATTCCCAGCTAGCACCTGCTACCTTTCACACTGGCCTATTAGAAAAGAGGAAATGGTATTGATAAAAAGTATGAGGAAATATAGGACATTTTGCAAAGGAGGAAATAAAGCTTTAATGACTGTGTCCCCTCCGCATTCTCCCTGTCTGAATCTCTGTGTGTGTTCAATAGAGGGCACCAGAACACAGGCTGTGATCAGTTGTTTTTGGTAGGTTTTATTTTTTCACCCTCTCATGATCTGATGTAAATGGGCAGAGTAAATTTGCTGAAAACGAAATCAGAGTGTTAACCTTCCACACACATTCAAGTGTGCATCAGTCATTGTATTAGGTTACAGTAGATACAGGAAATCTTTAGTTAGGATTAAGTTGTACTGTTCAGCCATATGTTGTTCTCCTCCAGCAGAACAGTGTATAATATACCTAATAAAATCACATTGAAGAAAACCAGATTTTGGCCTTTATCCAAATAAGACACAACACATGTTTTGCCTTTTGTAAATGTTCTCTCTTTAGCTTGGGAGAGGGAACATTCCTCATGTAGCATACAGCATCTCCTCAAAAGTCATGCTCTTTCTTTTGCGTATCAACTGGAAGTTTATTAGAGGTCTTCTCGGGTCTAATTTGAAAGGCCGACCTGAACCCAACTAGACCACAGCTGATCTGAATCCACCCCAAAGCTGAGAGTGTCAAGGCATTTTCACAACTGACCCTTATAGTCAGGCCACATCAGGTTGCAAGGTCAGGGATGGAGCAGCAGGAACTGGAGCTAGCATAACAGCATGTCTAGAATGCTGCAAACAGACCCAGGTGTTTCTGCCATTCACAAACCCACATTCCTTCCCTCCCCAGCAGCTGCCCCAAGAAGCCCAGGGTTGCCCATACCTCAGTGGAGCCTCAGTCCCTCAAACTTCCAGCCAGGGCAGCCACACGGCAGGACAGACCCATTGCCATGCAGGCATGGGGCAGCTCCCCTCCTCTGCCACCTCCTGCCTGGCCCTACTGCAGAGTGGGCGGGGGCATGGGCCCAGGGGTGGTGCAGGGTGGGTACCCATCTGCAGAGCCCCATGAAAGCCTCCATGCTGGGCAGGAGGGGTGAGGTGCAGGGCAGGCAGTGCCTGGTGTGGGGTCCCAGCTGGTCATGTTGTTTCTTTCTCTCTGTTCACACCTGAACCACTGTGTGTGTGTGTGTGTGTCTTAGTCTTAAGGCAGGAAACCACTGATGCGAATACAGCACCGCTTCTCCTGGTGGCAGCACTCATTTTCATCTCCAAACTGACCTGAACCCAGCACCTATAGTTAGGTCCCATTGGGTTTGGGTCGGGTTGCAAGACTCCGTATTTTATGCCCTCTTTCTGTGAAGGTCGAGATATGATACATTTTTACCAAGGCTGCTTACAAACGATGATTCTCCTGACAACAAATAAGAAAGATTTTTATCTCAAATTCAAACGTAGGGCCTGGTTCTGCAAACCCTTACTCATGTAAGGGAGTTCTTATGTGAGAGTAATGACTACTCAGTGGGGAAAGGTTTGCAGGATCAGGGCATTAATTTCTATCCTAGGTAGGTATAGGAAAAGTTTGACTTTCCTTTAAATCTGCCCAGTCAATTTTTTCAGGTGATACTAGAATTATCAGTGTGAGCTGTGACTTTTTATAAATTAACTATGTGGATCAGATTTTGATCTCATTTACTGTAGATTTACACCAGAGCAGCTGGGCTCAGAATCTGTTCCTGTGTTGGTATTTGCCATAATGAACAGGCTGATGTTCATCGAACATTGTGATAATTGCTGGTTGGCTAAAAATTACACACATGCTTAGTCAGTGCTAAAACATCCTAATTGTATGTTACCTTCCCCTGCCTCCTTCACTTCTTCCTGCCCAGTTGTTTGTCTCAGCTACATGTCATGTCTTGTTGTTTAGACTGCAAGCTCTTTGGGGCAGAGACTGTCACTTTTTATGTGCTTGTACAGCACCTAGCACAATGGGGCCCCGACCTAGTTGAGGCCCCTGAGTGCTACTGTAATAATAATATTCCACAATACTAACACAACGGGCGACAAACCATGCATGTCCTTGTTTTGGAGGTATGAATATTTTGAACATAAAAACTAAAAGTTAGATCTGAATAGTGCAGACACTTTATTTTTCATTTTGATGGCTTTTTAATTACATCCTTCAAGCAATGTAAGCGGCTGGTGCAGAAGGAAGAAAGCAAAAGTTGTCATTTCTCAATTAAAGAGTAAAGCAGGCATTCCAAGGGCATACCTAGGTGAAGAGTACTTCTATGACTGCTCATGTTGACTTACAGTGGTTAGTAAAGAATTCTAAATGTTTTCCCTTATAGATGGACTGTGTGTGATTGGTTCAATGAACATCTTTCTCTAATTCTTCCTCTTTGTGTTTCTTCACGCATTTAACCTCCAGATGGCACTATTAAGCAGAAGAGAAAATAACTGTGAAATAATGAGTCCAATGTAAAGTAAAATTGGAAATTGAATTATAGCTGCAGAAAAAGGACAGTAGCCTTGAGGTTCTGATCAACCTGTACTCTTATCACTTTTGTTTGCTGTTCCCATATGTTAGGTTACCAGCAAGTTAATAATAGTGCTTCAGCAGTTCAAGGCTTAGTAGAATTGCTGTGGACATGAAATAAAGCTAAAATGAATTTGTGTCCAATATCATTGACATTAGTGCTCATTACTTCTGTGGTGTAAAGCCTCAAACCATCTAAAATCAATTTTAAAGATTACCCATTATTTTATAAAGAAAATAAAATACATTTCAAACAGCAACAAAGCTGCAAGTATAGCGTAATCTCATGAACAGTTAGTTACTTGCGCTTTAGCCGGGGTGGCAGGAAGCTACTGAAGGTATAATACAGGAAAATCTTTAGGGAAACTTAAGCTTATGCATGTTGAATTTAATGGGCTGGCTTTTTACTATATTACTCTGAATTAGAAATGCAGACATTAGTATTGCAAAAATGTGAATCTCCTCACTGTTATCTGTTTTTTTTAAAATCTGGAACATAAATTCTAGTAAGATTTACTTTAAGAAAACAAACAAAAGGAATGAGTTTGCTCATCCAGTGCTTACACTATAAATCTGTATTTATTGTGCGGTATGATTGGGGTTTTTTCCCCTTTTTTGTTTCATGATGTTTGTGTCATTTCTTGATGGCTTTTCAAACTGTATTCATGAAGCTATTGCTGTTGAGGAGGGAGGTGTGCGGATTTGTAGGTTCTGTGGCTTGATTCATTTTTGTACACTATTAGGTGGTTTCTTTTGGGTTACTGAGAAGTTGTTTTTAAATGTACTGTGCATTAATACTTTGTAGGCATGTATTTTAAGAGAGATTATATTTGTGATGTCTATTTTTAAGAAAACTATGTGTGGGTTTATCAGAGTAAAAGCTGGGTTTTATCAATGTTTAAAAATGTCCTTATCTTGAACAGTAGCAAAAAGTGATCTCTGTTGCAGCCCCACTGTCTGATAATTTCACATGGAATATGGTAGATCGTTATGGGCCACTGCAAATATTTTTCATTACTGCAAACTTATCAATTTCAAGTTTTATATATAGGTCTATTTTCATTTTGCTGTCCTTTAACCTAAAGACAGAAATCCTTAAGTATATTACATTAATTAAATATTACCAGTATATTGGTCCCAACAGAGAACAGTTTTCAGAGTTCATTTATATTTAAAATATTACAGTCCAAACACGTGGTTAAGATTGGAAGAACCAGTCTGTTGTACACTTCATGTTAATTCGGGTATTTATAATACAGTTTAATTTTATTTATTTTACTTTCACCAGTTCTTATGTTGTTGTCTTGTATCTGATTATATTCAGTAATGTTGCCAAATAAATGGAAAAGATATTGATAACTAAAAGCTAACCTAAATATTTGTAAGTAGGCAAACATAAATTCTCAACGGTTCTGGCTTGCTTAAATATATTGCAGTAAATTTGCCCACAATGTTAGTTGTTAGTGTCATAGGCCCTTATTTTGCAAATGCTGAGTATTCCCACTGAGCTCAAAAAGACTACTCCCATGAGTAAAGTTACACATGCACATCAGCATTTTGTAGGAATGGGCTCTTATTGTCTGCTGCTGATCATGTTAGACTAGACCTATTGTGCAATTCGTTCCTTATACAAATATTGCAGGAGCGTTGCATTTTCAGAGTAGCAATGCTAATGCTCAGATTTCAGTCCTTGTAGAGTAACTCTAACTTTCCAATTTTTCTGAATGCATTGTACTTGGATTACACAGTTCACATGATTAAAAAGGTTATGCTAAAATGCATTTGAAGGCTTATTTTCACAAATATAAACTGCAGTTGAAGATAGACTTTTTCAAAAAACAGCTAAAATGAAGAGTATTGTCAGAACTTACTGAAAACATTTTACAAACAGATTTAAATCAATGTACATCGATGGCATTTTTACTATCCCTTAAATATATACAAATTTGTAAAAGTGTAAATATGTACTTCTAGTTTTTGTTGGTGCACACACATTCTATTTCACTGATATGTCAAAGTCCCGACTTTTCATGCTTCTAAACTCCTTCATCTTCTTCTACTCCCCCAAGAGAAATCAGGCAGTTGAAATGTTTAAAGTAGTTTAGTATTTTTAAATATAGACAATTCTTGAATGTAGACCAAATTTCCATAAGTGCATGTGCCTTTGCCCCCCTTACAATCATTAATTGATCCACATGGTAATAACAGATGGTTAAATGGAAGAAACGCCCTTGAAGTTATTCGTATAACAGATGTTCTTAACTATTAGCTTCATGTTTTTACTCACCCAAAATTCCGGATAATGTAATAAAAAGGTAACACATACCTAATCATTTTATTATATGCAGTGCATTCTGAAGCTAATTTGGGATTCACTTAAAAGCAGGACATCTCTGAGAAATTGTTCTAGTAACCATGTGTGTTTTTCTTTTTTTAAAGGATCCTACAAAATGCATTATTGCTTTCGGACAGTAGACTTCACCTCTTCTTACAGACTCAGCTAAGTCCAGAAGATATTGAGGCTTGTGTATCTGGACAGACAAAATATTCTGTTGCTGATGCGATTCATAAGTTTGCCTCTTTGAAACGACGTTTTCCTATTGAAGATGAAGAGAGAAAAAGAGGAAAAAATGAGGCAGATTCTGATTCAGAGAGGTTACTTTCTTTTTTACATTCCGATATATTTTTTTTATATATATATATATATATATACACACACACACACACACACACACACACACACACACACACACACACA